TTTGGTTCCACAAAGAAGCATTCAGTCAAAGGTTCTTTAAAGAACCATCTCTTTCTTACCTTTTTATAATCTGAAGATGAGAAGATTCTTCAGATGTTAAAGTTTTTTTATGGAACAATTTAGACAAAAAGGTTCTTCTATGGCATCGTGAAGCACCTTTATTTTTAAAGCGGTCATATGATGCGATTTAAATTTTTCCTTTCTCTTTGGAGTGTTACAAGCTCTTGGTGCATAAAGAAGATCTGTAAAATTGCAAAGACTAAAGTCTCAAATCCAAAGAGATATTCTTTATAAAAGTTAAGAGTCATATGTCATAAAGAGAGCTGATCCGTGCTGGTCGCTGAGGAAATACATCAACTTCGCGCTGTGGATCGCCGGATCGGCTTTCACCTGTGGAAAATAGTGTTTTTTTTAACCTTAAACCGCATAAACACATTTCATTACACCAAATACACAAAATAATGTTCTTTTTAGCAACATCATATGACCCCTTTAAGAGTGTTCTACAACAACTCTAAACAACAGATTCATGTAAAGATGCTGCTATTCTGATCGATGAAAGCAACCTGATCAAAGGCCATTCTTATGTTTTATAAATAAAAAAGAACAAAAACAAAATCAAAAGTCTCATTGTTATGTCTATTTGATTTTAGTTCATAAAATATGGCTACATTCACACAGTCAGTTTTTGGGACTGACAAATGATTTGACTTGAGTCTTTCGAGTTGTGTTAATATCTAATAGCAGACAAAAGCTGTCTTCTTAGACAGGTAGCTAAGTTCAATTCCCACCTGTATTCTCAGAACAGTCTTGAATAACACTGTAACCATAGTTACAGATAATGTCTGCATATCAGACTAATTCTCTGATGGCTTACCTTACAAAAATGTACTAGTACCTTTTTTTCTATGGATGTGTATATCATTGTAGGGCTGTCCAATTCTGGCTCCTTTCCATACAGTCAAAGGCCTACTGTAAAGCAGTTTGTTTGTTTGTTTTTAGTTCCTTTTTTCATGTTCAAGGATATTAACATATTCAAAGTTACAAAGAATATAATGCCACTACACTTTAAAAAATTCTTTAAATTCTTACTAAAAAAGTTAGTAATTTGAATGGAAAAACTGTAAATATTGCACAGTTAAACCTGTCAATTAGTTAACTGTAAGTTACCACAGCAAATATGCTACAGTGAAAAATTATATTATATTTAATTAAAAAACATGCATTTTTTTAATTATAAATTGCTGTGAAAATTATATGTTTAATGGACCTCAAAAGTATGAATTTGAATTAGGCCTAACAGTGAAAACAAATTATATTTTGAAAAGCAAATTCCTCTTAAAATACAGTAAAACCAGTAAAAGTAAGTACCTGGGGAACGTGATTTTATTATATTTATTTAAATATTCATGTTGGTTCTTATTTTTAAAGCTATGTAGCCTACATGTTAAATTTTATGTTATGCATTATTTTTTGTCTATACATCTATTAATTTATTTGTCATAGTTTATGACTTTAATGGTCACATTTAGATGCTACAATGACACAAAATTAAATAATAGATGCCCTCACTTAACTAACAGATTGTCAATCCACATGAAAACAAATCACTAATACATTTTCGTTTAATGCGGATGTGTTTCAAAACCTAATAGTATATTAACTTAGCCGGTTGCATCGCGCAGCTGTGTGAACTTGAACGTCCTTTTTGTCCAAAACACTCGTACTTAACTATGTGTAAGTGTTTCTCGGCAATGCACACCGACTGTAGGCCCGATAGCACGCGTTGGCCACTGGGTGTCGCTCTGGAGCAGAAAATGGCGCGGCATCTCCCCCACCCCCTAAACATCTCCGAATGTGTGCATGCGTGCGAATGTGTAGCGCCGAGAAAGTAAGTCTGTGTTTCCAGCTGACTGCTCGCTCTCTCTCAGTGTGTGTGTATGTGTTGTCATTATTATTATCGTCTGCTCCCAGCTCAGAATGGCCAGATTCACTCAGACTGAGACAAGAAGGGAGCAGCACCCACAGCCGCCCCATCCCGCTTACTCCAGCCTGCTTTTCACTGGACCCGGGGAAGCACCGACCCAACATCCACTCCTCCTAATCCCGCACCAGCACCAGTACGCTCAGATCCCATTTCCTAAACCCATGAACGGGTCAGAATCCATCTCCATTCATCCGGAGAACGGCACCATGAAAGATCAAGATGCCATAAAACTCTTTATCGGGCAAATACCGCGGAACCTTGAGGAAAAAGACCTGAAACCATTATTCGAACAGTTTGGGAAAATCCACGAATTGACTGTATTAAAGGACCGATACACCGGCATGCACAAAGGTAAACGCGTGATTCCCTTAATAAGAGTCTTGTGATTTTGGGGTGGTAAAACCTACAATAATGTAAAAAATATATACTTTTTGTCTCCTGCACATCATCCATTAGTGACGCGTGCGTTATTGTAATATTTATGATAAATCAAACGTGCCATTTCTGTCATGTCAACATTAAATACATAACAGTCTGGTGGAACTGTAATATCAGGACCCTTTAGCCACTATTTTGCACTTGAATCGTTTAGAGAGAACTTATCTTCTCAGTCTGAACCTTTGCATTGTTGCTTGTATGGATATTACTGTATCACATAACATGGCTGGGAATCTTGCTTTTCTCAACGGCTGTTAATTTTGGAACTGGGGCAAAGAGGTTTACAAGAAAATTCATATTCAAAGAGTCTTTCTTTTGCCATCATTTTACAATGGGGAAATACTCCCACCACCCCAGAGCATCCTTGTGCAATCTGACATGCAGTTCTCACAAACGAACAGGCGTTTTCAGTATGATTAGCCTATATTATTAGTATTCTACTATAGTTCAACGTTTTACAAAAAAAAAACAAACAAACAAAAATAAAAACCCGGAGCTATTAAATGCTCCAAACAGGTGTCAGGATACAATGAAACACGCACAAATGACAACAGAACAGAAAAACGTGCAGCTTCACTTATCTGATTATATTTGCACTTAAAACACGTTCGGTTGTGCGTCATAACGAACTACGGCGCGTTCTACTTGACATCGAATATGTCATATCCCACTCAAACAAGAAGACAAAGAGTAAAATTAAATCTCTATTTTGGTATAATCTCGTTCTTGTCATTTATTCTCCTCAAGCGATGTGTGTCGGAAATAGAATATTCACATTTGTCTTCGTTAGTGTCAGTTACTATTAGGCTTCATATCAGTGGTGTGTTTATAATTATGCTAATAAGGTTCTATTTGCTCAAGCGTTCATCCACGATATTTAGCCCGTGAGAAGCCTTGCTTCATAGGGGGTTTAACTGTGCTGAACATGTCAGAGTAATGAGAATATATATTGATTTCGTGGGAGAGAGTTATGCGTTTTCATTTGGCTAAATTAAACCAAACCAGTTTTATAAAACGAGGTGAAATGTTAATTTTATTCTTAATTTTAGGTTTCTATGACAAATGGTTAAGCTCTAGAGAGGATATGCATGACAAAATATGCCGTTTCAGAGGAAACTTAAGAAAGTAGCTACATACCACAAGTCGACCGTTATGAAAGCGCGCCAATTCTGACGAGAAATGGCACTCACGCGTCTGTCCTTCTTTTGATCAAATGGCATCAATGGTGACATGTAAGTTGTTATATTATTTGAGGTATTAACCTGTGTAGCAAATAATACAAGACAGAAAAACCAGGGAGGATCCAATCGGAGCTGATGTCAAGCCTATGTGGATACACCTTATCTAGTGCATTACTGTGAGCTGAATTGTCCCATCAACTAGACCCCTAAAATATAGAGCTTTTCAGTTTGTAGTGCTAAACCCAGAAGAGAATTAGCAAGGAATTTCCAATGGGGTTTTAAAATTGTGATTTTCCATTTATAGCCTAAGTAAAATAAGGTCTATGGTTAATAATACCAGAGACATTTACATTTTGTTATGCATAAATTATGCACAGATGTACTTAAGATGTGGAATTTGAATCCACTGTTTTCTCAAAATGTAAGTTGGTAATAAACACAAGGATGTGACCACTATTCTTAAAACCTTTATGTAATTCCTGAAGACTAACACATTTGTTTGTGTGTGTTTGTGTTTATTATGGCTGGTTGCATACATATTAGTTGAATGTCATCAGTGCCAGATTACAACATCATAGGCCCATTTTTTTCCATCCTAACCTACCAGATTGTACTTGTGATGTGTGCCTCTGGGACAGGAACCGAATATGAGTTCTAAAGGATCGTACAGATAATTAATTCTTCAGGATGGAATTTATTTTCATCTTATGTATTATTCTATGAGGGGATGTGAAGATAAGAACAAGTCAGCAAATATTTACATACACTTTTTGTCAGCTCATAGAGATTGTGCAGTCTTGCGAGTAGTCTCAATATGGACTGCATTGGTGATGTAGACCCCAAGGTTGTTTAAATGTTTGGCTAAATGTCGCTGAGGATGCTAATGTAATTTTTTTTCCCGAAACGTGACAGAGGAGCACAACAGATAAATGTTTGTAATAATGTCAGTGCTCATTGGGTAGAGCCTACTGTTTGTATATGCAATTCACAAAATTTTATTTAAAGGTGTCATATGATGCGATTTCAATTTTTCTTTTCTCTTTGGAGTGTTACAAGCTCTTGGTGCATAATCGCCGGATCGGCTTTCACCGTGGGCGAAGCGGAGTCCAGCCCGGGGTAGTCACATGTGGTTGCCGCAAGCCCGTCCGCCGTGCCGTTCTCAAGCCCACCGGCCGCCACTCACTCAAGCCGGCCTCCGCTCACTCTAGCCAGCCGTGTGTGATGCTGTGTTTTGTTGTGAAAGCGAAACTACTTTGTTTGGCCTTCCAAAAGAGGACACGACTAGA